TTCTCTCTCTCTCTCTCTCTCTCTCTCTCTCTCTCTCTCTCTCTCTCTTTCGAAAACATCGATCTGTGATTGACCCGTGAAAACTCGAGGTGAAGTAAACAGTGAATAGTTTTAAAGTGAAAACAAACAAAACGAGAATTTTACATTAGTCGACCCTTTTGACTTTACGTTTAATAGCGATGATATCATTGTAAAAAATCGATATATCATTACGATGATAAAAGTCGGTTTTTCGGGAATAATAGGGAAAATCGATAATTATAAAAAGTAGCAATTAATGCTGTCAGAGTACTCCGAATTATCCAAATATCTCAAATACTGAGAGTACCTAAGTCCTTCAAATATTACCCATTCGAATTCGGGCATTTTTTAAAGCTCCTGGCCCCTCGCATTGCTTATCTTTTTAATGACGTCAGAAGCGAGAAAATGTGTGCTAAAAATTTTTGTGAAATACGTTAAAATAAAAATATATATCCATAAAGTAACACTTGTGTGTGTGCAATCAATGAAATAAATTTGTAAGATATTCCATGCAGTCCCCTTTTATTCTAACAATCAATAATTTGTCGTAAATTAACGTGACATACAATTCATCTTCTTAACATATCTCTTCGTCTATTTCTATTCAAGTTAATTTACAATAAATTATTGATTATTAGAGCAAAAGAGAAGTGCACAGAATATCTTACAAATTTGTTTAATCGATTGCAAGTATTACTTTATGGATATATATTTTTATTTCAACGTATTTCGCAAGAATTTTTAACATGCATTTTCTCACTTCTAACATCATTAAAAAGAGATAGACAATGCGAAGGACCAGGAACCTTAAATTATGAGAATATTGAGAACTCGAGTAAGATTCGGTTCGGAAACTTTATCCGGGTGCATCTTCACGCCATGCGGAAACACTTTCGGATTCCATTTTAAAACGTTCTTTTTGAGAAAATGTTACTCTATATTCTAGTTACTAGTATATGTAATGTGAACAATAGGTACTATAACTTCTTAGCTAAGTACTTCTTAAAAGGTACTAGCTTTTTGTGTGTGTGTGTGTGTGTGACTCACAGCCGACTATATATATAAAACTTTCTCTAATATATATATTTATATATAATTGAGAGCTTGCTTACCTATTTTTCCTCATAGTTTTGACCTTAATGATTTCCTATCAACTTTTCTGACTTGAAACAAAAACTAAGTAGAAACTAATTTTAGCTAGGTTAAAGTGCAATAAACAAAACTCACTGACTACTATTGCATAAGAAAATATATTAAATCTAACAATAATTCCAAAGAAAACTTTTTATTTAATATCTTCTTTATTTTTCTTCTCAGAATCCTCTTCTATCTTCTCCGTCCTGATCTGCCTGTTCTCTTATTGTTTATAACCTACTTCCTTCTCTCCTTTATCGGTCGCGTCTTTGTTAACAAATAGTCTTTGTTATCCAATCAAACGATTCCAAATCGGACGATTGTTTTTTGAAAATCCCGATTTTCACAGTATTTAGAGTAAAATTTTTCTCAAAAAGAACGTTTTAAAATACAATCTCGAGTTATATCCAAATAATAACGATGAAGTCGTTCGGAAAATCTATTAAGTACACCTCGAGTTAAAAATTTTTCAGCCTGAAATTTCGGAATGAATTCGGGTAACTTATTGCATTTGATGGGATTTTTAAATAGTATTTTCGATCTGTTGACCCGATCCTGTTATTTCCTAACTTTATAGCATCCTTAATTACCAACTCTTACCCAAGCTTCAACAGCATTTGCCTCTTATCACTACTGCGTGCATGTAAGCTATCCAAAGTTGTTTTTATTAATTATATTCCGACCAGGATATAAGCTGCGGTAATGCTTTTATGCACTTTAGATTTGTTTTTTATTGCTGAGCTGGTTGCAGTAATTTGCATTGGGCCCCTCTATAAGCAGTCCTCTATTAGCAGTCTACCGACAGACAGATTTGATCAAAATCTGTCGACAGATCTATACTCAGCAAATACAAGGTCACATATAACGTACATGTTAGTTATAATTTTCTACTCAACAATGTAACTATTATATAACGTGTTTGCTGGGTAGATATGTGTTCACATTCGGCTTGTGTTGTGTCTACAGAATCTGACAGCAAATTAGTGATAAAAACGAGGAGAATCAGCAGTATATTTCATCCAAATACATTGGAACAGTAGGTCCTGTTCGGTTTCTACCGTCTTAATCTGTCATCATGTTCTATTAAATTGTATATCTGTTGTATTTCTGTTAGCAAGCTGCTGATAGAGTCTGTAGCAGACACTGCAAAATCTGCTTTTGCAGATTTGGTTATTTAGATCTCTTCTTCAAGTCTTATGTATACCTGTTTCTTTTTAAGTTCCGTCAGTGTACTAGTTTGATGTTAAAAAACAAACCTATTGTTTAATATTTTCTCTGTTTACTGCTCGAAAACTATCCCCCCTCCTCAAGTACACACTGACCTCACCACCATTCATCGACTATACCCGCAGAATAAAGTTTCCGAACGCAATCTAACCGGTTATTCATTCTTATTATTTTATCTCCTTATTTTTTCTTAAAGTCATAGAAATAATAGATATAGAAATATTAAAATCGACAAAAAATAGATAATTTACTAATTATATTTTATTAATTTTTTATATCAGAATGTTATACGGAAAAGATATTGGATGAATTAATCTAAAATTTGGGTATATTAACCAGATATAGTTTAGTGAGAAATAAAGAATTTATAATTCTGATTAATGTAAACAGATAAATTTGCTTACATACCCAGATAGACAGGGATGCTGATCCTACTATGCAAACATTGTACTTTATGATGTTATTGTAAACAGCACAACGTGGTTACTCCACATAACACGATGTCTAAAATCGGGACATAAAACGTTTAAAAGGCGTCTTGAAGATGTCCCTCAGACGTCGGAATATAAGATGCCTTTAAGATGTCTTTAAGACGTCTTATGTCTCAATTTTAGACATTGTGTTATGTGACTCTTAGCTACTCGCCGCGAAATTCTTGACTGATAACGTGAACAATGGGGAAATACGGAATTCCTACATCAAAGTATGTCGAAATAAAGAGATATGTCCAAAAAATGACACTTGCAATCGATTAAGCACATCTATAAAATATCCTTAACACATTTTTTACTCTAAAAATTCTAAATACCTATAAAATTAATATGACATACAACCTTCTTTTTTAACCTACATTTTCATATTTCATTGTCATATTTTTTCACCTTAATTGTAGATTATTTATGAATTGTTTATGAATTGTTAGAGAAAAATTCTCAGAGTATTTTAGAGATGAGCTTAATCGATTGCGTCATTTTTTGTATATATCTTTTTATTTTAACATACTTTATGGAAATTTTGGGCACGCATTTCTTCGCTTCTAACGTTATAAATAAAGATGGCTGCGACTAGTAGCGAGGAGACTTAAAATAAGCTTGTTTTAAGAAATATCCATTTATTACGACATAGTTTTAATCAAAATATTTATTTTTTATTAGTACAATAATTTCGGATTAATTTCGTTTTGCTTTCCGGCAAAATAAATAATAATTTTCAGGGCATCAAATGACTTTCTTTATATACTGAAAAAAAATTTTGTATAAGGGCGCATCTTTGCATATTTGTGCTAATCACTTAAGCAGTTAATATATAATATGAAATACATCTGGGTATGTTTAGATTAAGATAACCGTACAAATTTGGATATGCCAACTTCAGCAAAAAGAGGATCGCTAGGAAACCCACAAATTACGCTGATAAATTTCAACACGAGACTTTTGGATTATGAGTCAGCTGTCTTACGTGCTACGCTATTTCCAGTAAACACTGTAAAACTGTATCAATAACATAACATCAATGTTACAATTTTCTACACAATGTAAATGCAGTATAACGTAAATCTTATGTAACAGTTACATATTGCTGAGTGGAAAACTATAATATTGATGTAATGTTATTATTTACTTATAGGTTTCTACAATTAATAGATTTGTCATATATTATCTCTTTTTTGACAGTCGTTTAACCAAACATGTCATGTTAATCTAACCATGTTCTTTTTTCCATATTATAACAATTAGATATTTGGATATTATTATTATATGCAGTATACATATAGCAGTTAGTGACCAAGCTGATCAATACTGTACCTAAATGTTCTCTGCATACTAGCATATTTTGTTATATTAGTAAGTAACCAGAAAAATTCCACCAAAACCAAACATGTCACATTAATTCAACCAGACTTTCTTTCCATACAAAAGTATGAAATATCTGGCAAAGTATTCACTTCTCGTTTACCTTGAAATTTTTATACGCAAATTGACGAAATGTATGTATTTATGTAAAGGAAAATGTGATTCCGTTAAAAAATTTATTTAAATAATTTTGCTTTTTTTATTATAATTTTTGGCATTATTAATTTTATTTTTGTGTATCTTGTTTTTCTTGTACATATAATCAATTTAGAGATAATGTATTGTACTAAAGATACAATATTTCCCTATAAATTAATATATAAAGTAATTAATTAAGGTCCCTGGCCACTCGCTGTGGCTATCTTAATTTATGACGTCAGAAGCGAGGAAATACCTGCCTAAAACTCCTACAAAGTACGAAATAAAATAATATATCCAAAAAAATGATACATACAATCAATTAAACGCACCTCTATTTTGAATATTCTTCTTTTGCTCTAAAAATCAATGAATAAGCGTAAAATTAGCGTGATAAAATAATGAAGAAACGTAAGTTAAAGGGAAAAGTTGTATGCCACGTTATTTATTCATTGTTAGAGCAAAAGAAAAGTGTTCAAAGTGTTTTAGAGATTTGCTTAATTGATCGTCATTTCTTTGTTAATGTATCTTTTTATTTCGACATACTTTGCAGGAATTTTGGCTATGCATCTTCTGACGTTATCAATCGAAAACTTTGCGCCGAGTAACCAGGAATCTTAAAAAAGAATATTTATTTTTTATTTCGAATGCCCAAGTTAAGTAATGAGTTTATAATAACACATTGGTAGCGATTGATGTTTTCCAATTTGACTTTCAGGATTTATGGAACATCGCTGTGATATCGTTATCTCTCTCTCCCTCTCTCCCGATATATCACCATTAAAAATCTCACTATTGCACGATTCATTCGCTAGTCTAGGGATTAAAGTGCAATTGGGAGAAGTTATCACACACACACCGTCGCGAGCTCCTTTTTATAGATGCAGGTTTTATTTTCGAATACTATAACTGGCGAATAATAATGATCACTTAAATAAAGTCATGTATTACGGTGAATGAAGCAAACATCACTATGTACATATAAATATTACACGATTCGCTATATCGCATCCTATCACGGAATGCACTCTATACGTTGCACAACGTGTGTCAATCAACTACGCGCAAAACTCGTTTAGCGTAACTAACTGTGAGATATCGTTAAAACTTTCACTTTCAACATTCTCTATATGGAAAAAGGCGCACTCTCTGTTAAAAATTCAACATCTGAATTTGTCGGATAATCTAACATCAGCTTGCAGCAAACAGTGCTATTAGTCTTACTTATACAAACATGTGCGTATATTTAATGTGACGCGCATTCGTAAATCGGTCCCGAGCGCGCGCGCACGCGCGCGTGCACGCACACACGTATGCTGTCTCGATTTACGCAATAACGTAACAATATACCTCGAAACATCGAGGATTAATCAAACGCGCACGGGACCCCGGGAATAATACATTTACGAAAGCGACATTTAAGAAAGTTGTACACGAAATGTCGCCAGTAGAAACAAAATTTTTCATTCAAATTTCAATTCTTCATTACAATTCGACTGCTTGTGCGCCGAATCGAGAAGAAGTTACCTTTTTGTCTTACTCTCGAAGGCTCATACTTAACGTCTCGATAACACTTAACATAATGTCCAATTCGATTTTAACGAAGACACAATGTTTCTTTGCAAAGGCAACGTAAACATTTTTGGATCTTTCCATAGTGTTTTTCGCGTATGACTTCCGAATTAGTGTTTCGAGACTATTCGAGATCATAGTGGAAGACAAAATTAAATTATAGTTGCACGCGTAGATCCTAGCCAGTATATATAATATAAAAATCTATTATAGATTAGAGAGCTTTCTTCTATATTTTTCGGGCTCAATTATTTGCGGACATAAGTCACTTATAAATGCTATAAAAGCAGCTCATATATGAATTACTGTTATCACTACAACCAGCAATTACTACGCTCGAAACCATCTACTCGCAACACATCGAACGCCGTGTGATTATTTTACCTATATCTGTGGATTATTTAAGGTTCCTGAGTACTCGTTGCAGTCACGTTAGATTGTGATATCAGAAGCGAGAAATGACACTGAAAATTCTTGCTTGCTATTTCCAAATAAAAAGATATTTGTGTGCAAGAACATCTTAGATCGCTTGAGTATACTTATAAAAAGTTCCGAAGACTATCTTTTTCCTTTCATAATCAATAATCGCAAAATTTACGTGACAAAAGTATAAAGGAAGATAGATTAAAGAGGATGGTTGTTTATCATGTTAGCCTGAGACTACAACAGATGTAACAAGTTTTTAATCTTATGTTCTAAGGTCTATAATTCCTGACAAAAAGCGTTTTCCGCCCAGTTTTAACAATTAGAATCTAGTCAACTCGCTTAAAGCTCAGGGATTATGACTCCAGATATCAATAGAAAATGTTTTTAGTCGAAAATTATATCACAGTTTTGGGCTTAGAGCATAAAGCTAAAGACTTACTACACCTATTGTAGATCCGAACTTAATTTTACAGCGATTAATTGACTGTAAAGGAAAAAGGATAGTTTTCGGAGCATTTTTATAAGTATGCTTAAATAATCACAAAAGTTCTTTTATAAAAATATCTTTTTACTTGAAAATGACGCAGAATTTTTGGACATACATTTTCTCGTTTCTAACGTCATTAATCAAGATTTCCGCGACGAGTACCCGGGATATGCCTTAATTTCTCGGTTTAATTTTAGCTCAGTTAAAAGACTGTCTCATTCCATTGCATACCTCTAAAAGAATCTTTTTCTATAAACATGCAAAACTTCGAAGAATTGCAACTGTCCTACAATGTCACGATTTTGTCACGACGCTCAGCGTGTCAATTGAAAGAAAAGGCTGCTCGTAGAGGTTCTTACTGGCGAAATATCTTGTAGGAAGATCTCTTTTATAGAATAATCTTAATATCCTAATCTATAGTGGAAAAAGTATCGTATTATGCACGAGAAATCTGGAACACGTCGCTTGTCGAGAGATCTGATGAATCTCTCTTCACGTTGTCTAATATGCATATGCGTAAATACGTAGGCAAGTCGTAAAAAGCAGATACCGCGCGAACTAAACTTCATATAGATATCAATATGAATATATACAATTTACTGGAATAGATTCGACTTCCTGATCGTAAATGACGTTTCGTAAATAAAGTCATGAGCCCATATACTCTCACTGCACATTTAACGTTAAATGTTCCGGAGAAACGAAAGCTCGGAGATTATGAAGAAAATCGAAGCGCGCTCCGTATGAGCGATCACGAAGGATCAAATTAGCAAATTGATCGTTTGATTATATTATTTCCGTATCATTACCACTATTCTACCGAACGATTGCGAGAGCGTATAAGTACTTAGGAACAAAATTAACATACAAGCGCGTTACAGCTCAACATTTAACACTATCCCATCCTCGACTTCTATGTGAAAGTCCCGAAAAGAGAAAAAACAAAAAAGAAAACAAAAAGGACTATCGTATTTAATGCTAAATGTGTGGCGAGTATGTCTCAAACGAACTACTCAATAGATTAACCCATGTTCCGTTTTTAGAGACATCTCTTATCATTCAATGAATATCAATCGGTATGCACTCATAAGTAACGACAGCATACACTGAGAGTAATCGAAATATTTGAATGGAAAATCAACGCCCTGGCAAAACTTGCTAAACCGTCTGGTTCATTTTCATATCGGTACTGTGCTCCACCATCGTGTTCTCCATCGAGTACCTACATGTTTCAACGTCCTCCGCGTTCTCTTCCGTCTTAACGGGGTTGTCGGCCACGCGATCATTCTCAGTTTTGCGTATCTCAACCGTCGTGGCTATATTATTATCTTCCGTTTTGATTTCTTGCTTCACCGTAAACGTCTGTTTCTTGGCCTTCGTTTCCCTCTTCGTGTCCGTCCTCTCGCGCTCATACATAAACGTTTTCCGTTTTCTTCGCATCGGCTTGCACACCTTTTTGTACAGCACATTCATCTCTTTTATTCTACTCGTCGGAATCGTCCAGTCCATCTCTTTGGCCGTCGTGTCGGAATTTCGTGTGGGATCCATGCTGCTCTCGTACTCCGGAATATCCAATCCCAACTTTTTCATCACCGTAATTATTATCTCGTCAACATTGCCGTTGATAATTAAGTCGGCCTTTTTATCCTGCAATTAAATTTCTGGTTTCAGAATTATATCGTAACAAAATATTACACACGAATAAAACGAATAAATCTTACATGTTTCGTCGGCTGCAGATTACATATAACAAGACGACCTCCGTATTTTTTCGTGTATAAAGGTAGGTTACCACTCGGAATGATTTGTAACGTAGTTCCCAGGCATATGCTTAGATCGGCAACGCTAAAAGAACGTCGATATAAAAATTATATACAGGGTGTCCCAAATCATCATTCCATAGAACGGATTGATATGAACATAAAAATCCCATATCGTTTTGAGATATTCACGATAAATCTCGAAATATTAATTAAAGAATATTAGTGAGTGATCACGCACAATATAGTAGATGAGAAATAGTGGCGATGTGTTGTTGTGTGCTTTAGGTCAAATCGAACAAAAAAAAATCTTTTATCATTTCAAAAATAACCACATAGATTTTTAATTATTAATGAAAGAAAATTGTTACATATTTATGCGCGATAATGCACAAATTTTCTTTAACTCTTTAAGTCACGAATTTTTCTACACAACCTTTTCCTTTCTTCAATCGATATCCGGGGGTTTTTGCGGTCACTAATTACAAATTTGAAGTCGATTTTTGAAAATTCAAGATGGCGGATCCAATGTGGCAGACAACAATTTTAAAACTCCCTCCATTTCCATGAAAATTGATATCAGAGGATTTTTGGCGTCGCTGATCACGAATTCGAGATCACTTTTTTGAAATTCAAGCTATTTACAGATTCAACTTCACTCATTTATGGAAAGAAATATAACTTATCCCGACTGTTAGTATTTTAGCTCGTCATATTGAGTTCGCCATCTTGAATTTTGAAATTTTTGAAGATGCGTCATCATCTACAGCTCAAAAAGCATCAATCAAGTCATTTTTCCATAGGTTTATTTCACAATATTTTTGGCAAATAAATAAATAAATAAATTTGGCAAATAAATAATTTAAAAAATACCTTTTTTTTACATTAATTTGTTTATAAATAATTAAATTTGTAAAATTTAGTATTCTATGCAAATTATTCTGTTAGAGGAACATCTAAGCTTCACAATGTTTCCACATTTACCGCCTCGAAGTTTCTACAAAGTAGTTTAAATTTGTAAAAACGACTCTAAGAAAGGTGTATCATATATGATACACTGAAAAACTTAAAGAAGTAATTAAATCAATGTGGTCATTTGCAAAGTGAGGACTTTTTTGTTCAGTTTGACCTAATATATAGAATTATGACCTAAGTATAGAACGGCACTACAGCTCATCTACTATATCGCGCGTAATCATTCACCAAACTTTTTTTAATATCTCGAGATTTATTACAAATATCACAAAACGATATGGAATTTTTATATTCATCTCAATCCGTTCTACGATTCTGCAAAAAATTGCGGAGGGAGTCTAGGTCACCCTATATAATGTCATGATGTATCTCGTACACTTAGTTTCAATGCGAATACTTCAATATGAATACTTTCTTTTTCAGTTCAGAACGTAACTGATAATCCGATAAAAGAATCTAACTTTTAGGAATTTATCAAAAACAAGTTCAATTAAATATTTTTTATTAATTCCCTGAAGTTTTTCATTGGTCCATCGGCTGCATTTGGAACTAAGCTGAGAACAAGTGTTTAAATTGTATTAAAACCAAATGTACATACTCTATTTCGTGTACACTTTATTATTATTTTTAGCCTTACACATATAAGATCGAAAACTGTATAATACTGGTTAACCTTTAGGCTACCGGCATTTTTAATTAAAAAAGAGGTTTCAAAAGTTTTTCTATACAAGTACATACACATGGCGCAAAATTTTGAGATTTGTGCAGAGCCACAAAAGTGACTTTCCCAGGGAAGTCTAAAGATTAAAGTGATAATACATACATGACGCAATGTGTACATTGGAAAAATAGTTTCAAGAATTTTTTTTTAAACCTGAAGTAAGCCGTACTAAAATCATGTCTGCTGTTACATTTATATAATTGCTAAGGTTTATATAATTTATATAATTGCTTCTCGTGTGACAAAGTTATATTTTACACGGAGAGAATATTATAGTTCTTTTTTTCATATAAATTCTTTTCAATTCTATTAATTACTACTTCTATTAATGCAGGAATAGGCTATCAATAAAGTTTATCTTGTTAAGAAATATAGAAAATTTTGCTAGAAATATAACAAGTTTTTTTAATAGCATATATTTTACAGTTTTTAAAATATAAATAACACATTAAACAAGAAGATAATAAATTACTTTGAAATATTAATCTATTCCCTAGTTACAAAATTCAATAGTAATTTTACTATAAAATTCTCTCCATGTGTAGTTATTTCAAGTAACAATACGTATATGTATTATCATCGGTTACCTGGAATGCAGGTCAGATAGAGTCAAATCACTGTCCGGTAAATTGTGTTCCCAGTCGAGAATGGTGTCGTGCATTCGGCCACGGCAAGGACGACCGCCAATTTGTTCAGACCTACACACAGTATCTAGGGACTTTTTCCCTACACTCTTGGTCGCGAAATTGCGAATAAATTGTCTGCAAAATAATTTGAATCATCAATATCTTATTCATAACATATTGCCAATATGTCATACAACAACTGAGCCTTAACATATTCGTTTCGAGCGATTTTAAAGGAAATATCTCGTTAACCGAGGTAAATTTGTTAAGTTTTATAATTACATTACAAATCATTTATTATATAATTACACATTATATATATAGAATATTCGGAAATTTAACCAACAAACTTTAAAGTCTGATCTACAATGTGTTCTTTGCTTCCTGTTTCTTGTTTTCTGTCTTTTTTAGTTTAAGGTTTAAGGCTTGAGTTAGAAAGAGATAAAGAAAAAGTAACAGGAAGCACATTACACATTATAGATCAAGCTTAAGAGATTGTTGGGAATATCCCAAGAATCATTTTTTGCAAATGGAAATGGGTCATCACATCACTATGACTAGAATGTCAGAATGATGTACTACAATTAAATGGTAGTGAGTGACTACGTCCTGTAGGTTTTTTTGGTGCGTCATGCACTGGAAACTTGTGATGTGACGTGCACGGCGAATAGTTTTGCGCCGCTAACACTCCCGTCATAGTGATGTAACAACTCGATTTTCTGATCCTGCGATTCTGGCCAAATTTACATTTCTGAAAATACTCGGGATTCAACATCACAAATCTCAAGATTTTGGGATTACCAAAATTCAGTGTTAAGTGCTTATATAATATTTATGTTTTACAAAAATTTTATTTCAATAGTTATTATTTATTACTAATATTCTAAAGCATTTAACAGATATATGTAGTTATATTTGAAACCTAATTATTATTTTTATTTATTTTAAATATTAATACTTTTTTATTTTAAATTTCGCAGGTACACTGGCGCGATGTAACGGTTAGGTTAGGTTAAGGTTCGTCTATATAGGTCGTAGCATGCTAGATGCAGGCCTTTTTTAATTTTAAAATTTCTTAAAGTTTGTGCTTTATTATTTCTAAGCTCGTCTTTCTAAAATGAAAAGAAGGAGTAAAAATTATCTCTATTTTCATCATAACAGTTTTAGCTTTTAATTATAACGTTTTTTTAACAAAGTTTAAGCAATCATTACTTTAATGTAAGTTGTTTTTTTTCTATTTTTACTGAAATTTTATTTTTTGTTTCTAATGATATTCATAAAATTCTATGAATGTTTCATAAATAAAATAATTCTATATTCATAATAATTCTATTCATTTTTTATATTTTTCTTCACATATATATAATCTCGGGATTTGTTTCAGGATCCCAAGATCGAATTAAAAAAATCTCGAAATCCCGGAATCCTAAAATGTATCCGAGATTGGAAACTCTAGTAATGACCCATTTTCAATCTCAAGTCCATTTGCAAAAAATAATCCTCGGAGTGTCCCTAATAATCTCTCAAAGTTTATCAGTTGAATTTCCAAATATTCCATTTTAATTTATCTCCCTTAAAAAATCACTTTTTTATTGCAAAAAAATGCTTTAAATAAAAGTTGTTTGATTTAAAGGGGAACATATAATTCCGATATGAGTCATGTCGTAGATGTCGTTTTCAAGAAATTTTAAAGGCGACTAATTTCTTAAATGAAACTTGATTTTTTCCTTGAGATAAAAATTGTAGATCTCGTCGAGACGTTTTCAAAACACTCCCCGAAATTGTCTTTTGCATAAGCCGTTCCAGAAATTTGAAGCTCCAAAGTTTACAAGAAAACCTACGTTAATCAAGCACTCCGAAGAAAATAAAAATCTACGTTTACGTCGTTATTCTTGCGTAGTGCTAAAAGTAGGATAGTGAACAGAAATTTAGATAGTGACATAAGTTTAGAATAACCATTAAATCTTTTTGCATGAACTATATATATTCCAGCAAACCCAGAATATAACTATTATATAACATAGAAGTAACATGTAATATAACGGATGTTATGCGTTATTAATGTTAAAGTTACATAATTTTCTTTTATAACTGCAATCTGTGTTTTAGAACTGTTATAATTCTCTGTTATTTACAGGTTATAATTGTATAACACCAACATAACTAAAATATAACAGGTTATATACAAACGTTAATTTGCATTGCATCTATGTTATATAGCATTCTTATATCTAAGTATCGGATAGATGTCTTCCGTTTTCTCACATCTTTCTCATACGTAAAATATGATACTATATATAATATATGATAATATATATAAGAACGATGATGATAGAACGACATAACTTGTACTATGGAGTCCAGCAAACCCAGAATATAACTATTATATAACATAGAAGTAACATGTAATATAACGGATGTTATGCGTTATTAATGTTAAAGTTACATAATTTTCTTTTATAACTGCAATCTGTGTTTTAGAACTGTTATAATTCTCTGTTATTTACAGGTTATAATTGTATAACACCAACATAACTAAAATATAACAGGTTATATACAAACGTTAATTTGCATTGCATCTATGTTATATAGCATTCTTATATCTAAGTATCGGATAGATGTCTTCCGTTTTCTCACATCTTTCTCATACGTAAAATATGATACTATATATAATATATGATAATATATATAAGAACGATGATGATAGAACGACATAACTTGTACTATGGAGTCCAGCAAACCCAGAATATAACTATTATATAACATAGAAGTAACATGTAATATAACGGATGTTATGCGTTATTAATGTTAAAGTTACATAATTTTCTTTTATAACTGCAATCTAACTGTGTTTTAGAACTGTTATAATTCTCTGTTATTTACAGGTTATAATTGTATAACACCAACATAACTAAAATATAACAGGTTATATACAAACGTTAATTTGCATTGCATCTATGTTATATAGTATTCTTATATCTAAGTATCGGATAGATGTCTTCCGTTTTCTCACATCTTTCTCATACGTAAAATATGATACTATATATAATATATGATAATATATATAAGAACGATGATGATAGAACGACATAACTTGTACTATGGAGTCCAGCAAACCCAGAATATAACTATTATATAACATAGAAGTAACATGTAATATAACGGATGTTATGCGTTATTAATGTTAAAGTTACATAATTTTCTTTTATAACTGCAATCTAACTGTGTTTTAGAACTGTTATAATTCTCTGTTATTTACAGGTTATAATTGTATAACACCAACATAACTAAAATATAACAGGTTATATACAAACGTTAATTTGCATTGCATCTATGTTATATAGTATTCTTATATCTAAGTATCGGATAGATGTCTTCCGTTTTCTCACATCTTTCTCATACGTAAAATATGATACTATATATAATATATGATAATATATATAAGAACGGCATATGATGATAGAACGGCATAACTTGTACTATGGAGTCCACTTTTACAGTAAAGTGAAGTGGTACACTTTTTGATTAATGGAAATTACTATTACAATATTAATCCCCTCCATTTGAATATGTACAGAGAGATGAAAATGAATAAATAAAAATAGCTCTAATAGTATAAAATGCCTGAGGACATGCTAGAACGCTAGACATCTAGAATAGCTCTAGAATGATTCTGGAATATCTTGTATTATTTGGGAGCTAATTAATTTAGAATGGCAAGATACTTGTATGCTATTATCTTTACTAAAAATATTTTTGATACGAAATATATAATTATAATATTTTTAGAAGCATACTTTTACAAATTAATTGATATTTGAGTGATAGTTTGTAATCTCTGTGTACAATTAAATACCTATGCTAGAAAATAATAATTTATATTACAGCTATATAACATTTCAGCAATATATAGGGTGAGTTAAATGTATGGATACACCCGAATAAATCTTCAGGACAAGATTTTCAGAAAAAGTGACCTGAACAAAAGTTGCTCGAGCCTAAAAGAACTGTCTGCTGGTGATCTTGGTCCCAACCTTCAAGGTTATTTGGAGGTCAACTTTGTTTTTTTAAATAGAAAAATATATATTTTTATCACGAAATTTTATTCTATATAAAAAAACAAACAAACATTTCTGTTTGAAAAACTTTTTCATACGATCTCTATTTTCTAAGATATTTACGGAAATATCTACAAAATTATTGGTTTCAATAATTGTTTACTCGAATTCTTTATCGAAAAATAACAAGAGATAAAAATTACCTATTTTCTTTTTATAGAGTTCTGAGAATTTTTTCAGAATTTTCTAATTAATTTTTTAGTAATGCATTTTTTGTATTTTCTTGAAGTACTAAAAAGTTCATATAAAATTTTGAAAAAATTCTCAGAGCTTTATGAGAAGAAAATAAACAATTTTTATCTCTTGCTATTTTTCGGTAAAGTTGATAGAATTCGAATAAAAAATTATTGAAACCAATAATTTTGTAGATATTTTCGTAAATATCTTAGAAAATAGAGGTGGTATAAACATTTTTTCAAACAGAAATTGTTTGTTTAATTACGTAGAATAAAATTCTATAGTAAAACATACATATTTCTATTTAAAAAAGCAAAGTTAAACTACAAATAACCATGAAGTTTAGGGTCAAGGTTATATCCAAAGTCACCAGCAGATAGTTATTTTACTGAGCAACTTTTATTCAGGTCACTTTTTCCAAAAATCCTGTCCTGAAGATTTATTCGTGTGTATCCATACATTTGGCCCACCCTATATATAACAGCTATATAACATTTTAGTAACACGTTATATTTCTTTTATATAACGGCAACTTCATATGAGTGGAAAATTATAAGTAACATGTATGTTACATATAACAAACATGTTAAATTGCACGTTACATTCAGTTACATTACGACGATGTAACTGTTATATTATTGTGTTTGCAGGGATTGAACCAGTGGCTTTGTAAACTTTGAAGTTTCGTATCTCTGGAACAGCTTATGCAAAAGATAATTTTGGAGGAAGTATTTTGAAAACGTCTCGACAAAATCTATAACTTGTATTTCAAGGCAAAAATCAAACTCCATTTAAAAAATTAGTCGTCTTTAAAATTTTTTGAGGACGATAACCTCTACGACATAATTTACATCGGAATCATGTGTCCTCCTTCAAAACAAACAACTTTTGTCTAAAGCATTTTTTTTTCTATAATGAAGAATTTTTATCTAAAGTTTTTTTTGAAGGGGTAAATTAAAATAGAACGCTCTGTGTATACAGGGTGTCTCGCGTAAGACGTACGAAAAGAAAAATATAAGTAGAATACATAAAAGTGAACAAAAATTGTAGAGGTCATTTTTCAAACAACCACGTAAAATTTCGAGATATTAATAAAAATAGTTGGACAAATTAGAGTGCGCGACGCGACAGGCGGAACATACGGCTTGCTGCGGCCGGCGAAGAAAATGGACGAGCGCACACGTACACGTACGCACACACGTACGCACACACGCTACCTATTTCCGTATGCCAAATAGCCTACTTCTCTGACCTATAAGATAGGTTCGCGAGCAATCGTCCATTTTTTTCGCCGACCACGACGAGCCGTATGTCT